TTTTTTAATTCTTTACAAATGGTCATATATTTTTATATATTATATATATTAAGTTTTAATTGTTGGCCCGCTACTCTGTTTGAATTACCTTTTTAAGGTTCTTGATCCTGGGTGCATAATAGAGCCATACTGACAAAAGTTAGACCTGGTCAGTGCCCGGATTGGATGGGAGGCTTCCTGGGAATCCTGCATTATTAAGTGTCATGAGGTCAATGACAGAAGAAAAGCAGCATATAAATATAATAGGTTATGACAATCCTGTCAGCATGTAATGGTGATTAGTAAACAATAGCCAAATTGTGTCTTGGATACATGGCACTAAATTGCTCACTGATCTAAAATGATGTGTTTGATCTTTTTTTTTCCTTTAAAAAAAGTTGTGCTGCGCTTAGTATTTCCTGTCCAAGGATGCAGATAGTTATTGTATAGGCTGGGAAAAGTTAAGTGTTAAGACAGGAAGGAAGATTGATTATTGTAGGGGAAGAAGGCTATCAAAGGTACCAGAAGCTCCAGGACCTTTCTCTTAAAAGAAATCCTGCATGATAGCAGAGAACTTGACAACGTAGAATCTAAGGTGATAAATACTTTAGCACAAGACTTAAGTTAGTGTAATTTTCTTGTAGGTTACTGCCGAGCTGCAAAAGAAGGAACAGAAGTTGCATGAAGTGGAAATGGTTCTGTCTTCTGTAACCCTTGAGAGAGACCAAGCCGTTGAGGTACTTAAGAAGCATGGTCTCTTGCCAGAAGGAACAAAACAGGTTAGAATTACTTATGCTATTTATTGACTTGAATTAACCGTGGACAGTTCACCTTGTAACCAAAGCTGTTTCTAGGATATATTGCACCTAACAACAGCTTCATATGTGACAAAATTCTTATTTACTTTACTTCTTACTGTTTTTACAACCTAAGTCATAAACAGCAAACCCTCTTCCCATGGGAGGAGAACCTAAAAGTTAGTTATCATGTAACTTAACAACTGCTGCCAAAAATTTCGCCACACACAAAATTCTTATATGAAAATAATTTCCATATAGGAAATGGTATATAGACTGCATGTAGTTTGTCACATGATATATACATGTATGTATTTTTATTGTATATATGGGCATTTGAAAACCATGACTGGATGTGGTTTTAGAATGTGCATACAGTACGTATGCCTTTAACAAATCACACGCGCAAGCAGTCCTCAGACCTAACAACATACATATGGTTTGAACACTACTTAACACATGGAAGTGGATCTGTGTCATGTATGAGAGGCAAAGAGTTTTTTGCAAGACATTCAGGCCCGGCGCTTTCATAAGGCAAGGTAAGGCGGCTGCCTAACGGTGCGAGCGTAGAGGGGCACTGGAATGGTCTGCTGCCTCGCCCCTCCCCCATCAAAAGCCCTGCTCCACTTTGTTGGCCCTTGGCCTACCGCCCCGCCGAGGTCTTTGATGCGATTTGGTGCCCTTTCCTCACTTGGCGCTGTGAGGCGGGAGAGGCAGCCAGCCACATCCAGCGAGCGCACGAGGCAGGATGTGCGTGTGCGCAAGGGGGAGCAGTGCGCGGGCCTGGCAGGGGCCACCTAGTCTAGTGCCAGTCGGGGCTTCCTCCTTCTTCATGCTCTCTTTCTCTGGAAGGCTAGGGGCTCCGCAAGCGGAGCAAGGCCATACCTCTGCCTCCTTCCTTTGTTTGAAAATTGGTGGGTGCACGGGGGGGGGTGCAAGAAGGTAGCCTCGCCTAGTGTGCAAAAAAACCCTGAAGACATTACAGATTGGACATTTATCCAGGGGTCGTTTCATAGAAAAAGAGCTAGGGGGACTCATTAGCATAACTCATTAGCATATGCCACACACCCTGACATCACCGGAAGTGTGTCATAAGGCCACACCCCCTGCCATCACCAGAAGTGTGTCATAAGGCCACACCCACCACTCAGTCTTAGTCTTAAAGGTTAGTCTCCCCACAACAGACACCCTGTGAGGTAGGTGGGGCTAAGAGAGCTCTGACAGAAACTGCTCTTTTTCAAGAACAGCTTGCCAGAACAATATGAGCAATATCCTGAGGAAATTGTGGAACCTGCCTGTGACGACCTCTTATTTGGGGAGGTCTAGTTTTACTTTCAAATGTTCTTTCAGTTTCACTCTGTAGGGTATTCT